GTGCTTTGCCCATCTGCAACTGGACCAGGAGTGTGGAGTATTCCAGTGGAGATCGGTTACTCAAGGCCTGTTGGTATTTTGTCGTGTCTGAGACACATTATCGAGGCTGAGGGATTGCGAGCCTTGTTTAAAGGTCTTGGACCAACGTTAGTTGGTGTTGCCCCATCAAGAGCATTATACTTCTCGGTGTATGCAAAAGCTAAGCACACACTCAACAGGAGTGGTGTGGTGTTACCGGACAGCAAGTTTGTACATGTTGGAGCAGCATGCTCAGCAGGTACGTTATGCATCAGTGTAAAATTACATTACTATAGCCACCACCGTTTGTAATTTTGTAATATATTTATCAATGAAGTGGTTTTTAATTGAGTGTTGTGCAACCAAAACCAAAGTTATTGCTTAATTGCTTTCGACAATCAATTGAATACTTCTCTAAAATTGTTTGCAATTAGATATTGATAGACTGGCCCGCCTAGACTAGTACTAGCTATCCGGGGGCCAGTCTAACTGTGAAAATGTAAGTTGAACAAAAATAAAGGTGGTTGTTGTTGTTGTTAGTATTGAAACTTTGAATGCTGAAATGGTCCGAAAGAGCTTCAAAACCTGTTGAAAAAAGCTTATTCCAAACATGTTGAGAATCACCCCCAATATGTGTTAGGAGTTAGGCATAGCTGGGTGCATTTGAAAATCAGTTTCTTGCCTTACAGGTATTACAACATCAACATTGTCCAGTCCTCTGTGGGTTATCAAAACAAGACTCCAGCTTGATAACGGGTAAGTCTCAGGGAACATTAGATCTCTAAAACAGATTATATAATTAGATTGCCCTTGAACTATAAGTTTTCAAATATATTTCAATAGCAGGGTGGTTGAAGGTACTGTGTCATAACACCATGTTGTGACGGTGATGATGATGATGGTTGATGTTAAGGGTTGGTGATTGGTAAATGTGAGTCTTCATGAGAAGGCGAGACTAGCATTTTTCTTTGCAAACCTGAGACGTTGAACTTTTTACATTGTGAGACTGAGACTTGAAAGATTTTTAAATGTGGCCTCATGGTTAGTGCACTCGTCTCCGGATCGAGCGGTCCGGGTTTGAGCCCTGGCCAGGGACATTGT